TTCTCCTTTCTCTTGCTGCTTAACAATGTCTAGCTTTGGCTCCAGAGAGATAGTCTTCCTTGAAGCCTTGGCTTTCCCAAAGGCAGAAGAGCCAGTAGGACACTTAATAGCCATTTTCAAAATTATACAGTTACACTGATCTCTTCAGTCACCAAAATAGAGCAAAGTCACTTCACAATCACTAAAATTGGCAAATTATCACAGCGATAAAAAGGCTATGCAAGATAATATACACTGTTCACTTCACAGTCACCAAAACAGCAAAATCTGAATGTAAATGTTCTCCTCTTAACAATAACGGCAAAGTATCACAGCGATCACAAGGCTATACAATGATAAATAACAATGACATTGGTTACACGATCCAGGGCAGGAAAGATCACATTGGAACAAAGAGTAAGACTGTAATACACAGGGTGGAGTGCGGGTAGGTGACGTTGTGCGGAGGATGGCAAAAGCAGTTTTTGCTCATATCGGTAATCTGGGATTTGAAAAAGTGAAGGGAAGGATGTGCTTCTCCAGTGTTTATACATCTGTGTCAGCGAGTTTATCCTCATGATAACAGTCTTTAATGTGGATTTTGCCAAACGTAAATTGTTCAAGGGTGTTTAAACTTAAGGATCGTTAACATGGAATATCATAAAATAGATGATCGTAAATCAGGATTTACAGTACTGTACTTGTATTCTGAAACTAAACATCAATAGATAGTATTGTACAGTCAGGGTCAAAAGTCTTGAACAATTAGCAATATCTGGCATCTTCTTCTGAGTTATAAATATATGATTGGGTTATACTAATAACACTACTTGTCAGCACATATTATGCCTGAACCACAAAATGGGATAAAACTCTCCTTAATACCTAAGATCTTCAGGTACTTACATGCCAAATACTGTCAAGTGTTCAAGACTTTTGACCCCGACTATACATGTACTGTATACAGGTAAACCTCGATTTATGGTCTCTCTATGTATGATATTTTGCTTTAACAATGGCATTGTTTTAAGACCACCTCCCTATTTACGATAAAAAAGAAAAATTCACATTAATGATGGCCATCGTCCAGCCAAACTCGCCGACGTGCAGAATACTTAATACTGTACAGGTATCCTTTGTTTAACAACTGGGATGCGCTCCTGAAAAACCTATCGTTACTGTGAAATGATTGCTAAATGAGGGATAACGAGAAATTATATCCTAAACTAGAAATAATATCCATGGAGATGGCACTTATTGTGTAGCCAAGTCTCCTAGTCACGACCCAGTAACATCCAAAGCAGGTGAGGCTGAGCTTTGAGCTATGCTATTATTCAACACATAATTTCAGGATTTCAGGTAGACACAATCATTCAAACAGAATGTGCAGAAAAAAAATTATCATCAAATTGAAAAACAAAGAGAATAAAAATATCTTATGTTTGCAGGTGTTAGTGTGTAATCGTTGGAGGGGAAGGGGGGGAACAGGAGAGGGGTGCAGTGTCGGGGATCTTAGCCACCCCTTACCAGGCCAAGCTATGAGCTGTGTTAATGTTCTTTTTCAACTCGTAGTTTTGCGTAAATATATGGTGTTTTTATTTATTTTTTACTCTAACATGCACACACAACCGTTCATACATAATGTGCAAAAATAAAATAATCATAAGGTCAAAACAAAAAGGGAATAAGAATTTTTTACGTGTACTGGAGTTAATCCACAGAACGGTGGAGGGTGGGGGGGGATAGGCATGGGTGATCTCTCAACTGTTCTCTGTCTTGTGTCCCATGAAATGATGCCAAATGGCAATGCATTATATTTTTATTTTATTTTATTTATTATTATTTTTATTTCTTATTCACATTTACAGTAATACCCCGCTTAACGCGGTTTCGCTTAGCGCGATTTCACGTATACGCGGTGCCTCGCTAGAGCCGAACTTTCACTTCACGCGAGTTTTTTCCACGTATACGCGGAGAGTGTCCGGCTCGAGACGCTATTTTTAGATTCGCCCCACCCGCCTGCTCCCGCCTCCTCCCTCCGCCTGGGCAAGCCGCGCGCGGTAAGGTTGCGCAGTGCATGTCTCTGTTGCGTTATCACTGACGTCATATGACATATCGGACTGTGATTGGCCATGCATCCCTACCCCCCTCTGCTGCTAGCTGTAATTGGCTTAAAGTATTATGACGTGTCCACCCGGGGGAGGGAGGGAGGGTGGGAGGAAAGACGACGCTTCACCTAGCCGCGGCAGTTTCACCCCTCCAGGCCACTCCGTGTATACGTGAATCCATTGTTCTGTGAAATGGCTTCCGCCGGACCACCACCGCCACCAGAGAGAGACCTTTCCTAACCTGGACCCAGCCGCCCTAAGCCCGAGAAGACATGCCGTGGTCTAAGCTACGAAGTGAAATACCTGATCATTCAAGATTTGGAGAAAGGAACACGGCAAGTTGATCTCGCGCGCCAGCATGGCGTCAACGAATCTACGATTCGCACTATCAAGAAGGATGCAGCCAAGATCAAAGAGCACATGAAAATCAAAAAGTCTGCAGGTGCTTCAATGATCAAGTATTGCCAGAACAGGGTGCTGGCAAAAGTGGAAAATTTGCTGGTGAGTTATTTGATTCGTCAGGCGCGACGCAACTTGGCGGTGGACACGCGCTCAGTGCAGGAGTACGCATGTGAACTATACGCAGCAGTGTCACGTAAGCTGGGAATTGCAGAGCCCAAACCCTTCACTGCTTCCTCTGGTTGGCTGCATAGGTTTAAGAAGAGGAACAAGATCACCAACATCAACATTGGTGGTGAGGAAGCGAGTGCTGACCGTGTGGTGGCTAGAGATTTTCCTCCGTTCTTACGTGAGATTATGGAGGAAGGACAGTACACCGACGTTCAGGTGTTTAACATGGACGAATCTGGTCTTTTCTGGAAAAAGCTACCTTCCAAGACCTTCATTGTAAAGAATGCCAGCAAGATTCGGGGCCGGAAGATGCAGAAGGAACGCATCACCGTCCTGTTTACCACCAATGCCTCCGGTACCTGTAAACCAAAGTTATCGGTGATTCACACAGCCCGCAAGCCGCACGCCTATAAGAATATGGACATGAACAAGCTTAATGTCCACTGGCTAACCCCACGTAAGGCGTGGATGTCCTCTTCTCTGTCCCTCTTCTGGTTTGACAACTGTTTTGTTCCCGACGTGAAGAAATTCTGCGAGCAACAGAATGTTCCATTCAACATTTTGTTGCTCCTTGACAACGCACCTGGACACTCGCCCCTACTTATGGATCGTCACCCCAATGTAAAAGTGGTCTTCCTTCCTCCCAACACTACGTCATTAATCCAGCCCATGGACCAGGAGTTAATCTGCAATGTGAAAGCTGTGTACTCTGCAAAGAAGTTCAAGCTCCTGAACGACTCTACCAACACCAAGGATGAGTTGCGTAAGATGGATGACACCGACAGCGAGAGTAAAAGCGACGAGGACAAGGAACAAGAGGTGGTGACTCAAGAAGTTCTCGTCAAACAATTTTGGAAGAAGTTTAACGTCAAACAAGCTGTAGACTTCTTGGTGGAGGCATGGGATCAGCTGTCTCTTGCTACAATTCGTCACGCATGGAGACATGTGTTGCATGGCATACCAGCTGAGAGGAGGAGTGAACCTGTGACTAGTGAGGTTCAGACTGTTGCAGTAGCAGTGGACCTTGCCAGAGAAACTGCGCTCAATATTACAGCTGAAGGCTTCTCCGAGACCACCAACGAAGACATCCTGGAGGTGATCAGAGATCCTGAAGTGACTGCCGACGAGATGTTGGAAGAAGATCACGTCAGTGAAGAGGAGGAAGAAGGTGCGTCATTCTCCGAAGAACACAGTTTAAGTCATAGTGATATTAAGGGTGCCATGGAGTGTGCAGAGAAAATGAAGTCCTTCCTTTCCCGCGACAATGACGATGACCGCTATGAAGTCTTCCATACCCGGCTGGTGCAGGCTATGGAGCCGTACATCACGGTGTATCAAGACAACATAAACACCAGCCGTCAAAAATGCATAACCGAGTTCTTCGCCCGCAACCCACCACAGCCAGCCCAAGCCAGTGATAGTGACAGAGGTAGAGTCAGTGAAGATGACTTTGAGGGATTTGTCAGGGAGGCCATAACAAGTGTGGGTGACAGTGATGGTGACTCACCTGAGGGCCAGTAGCCTGCCCTCTGCCTCGGAACCAGCCTCCATCCCCGTACGCCGACCCATCTCTTCTACTAACGTAAGTGTTCAACATAACTTTTAGTTTTCCTAACCTAACCTTTATTTTTCCTAACTTAACCTTTATTTTTCCTAACCTAACCTCTTCTATATTACTTGTTTTTTCATACCATCATAAAGTTAAGATAAAATTTTTACTACAACATAGTTGTGTGTCGTCAAAAAGTGGAGTTTGGGGGTCGGGCCAGTTTCTATTGGAATTAATCCCACATGTTCTGTTGTTCACTTAGCGCGGTTTTCACTTAACACGGTACCCTGTGGGTTCTATTGACCGTGTTAAGCGGGGTACAACTGTACTGTGATTGTGAAGGTTTTGTGATCGAAGTGCTTTTGCTCTGTTTATGTGACTGTGAAGTGAGCAGTGTTACTTTGAACATGACTAGCATTCTGTTGCTGAAGGTTCCTGCATCTGGGAAGGCCAAGGCGCCTAGGAAAACCGTGTCTCTGGGGGTGAAGCTGGAGATTGTGAAGCGGCCATGCTTGTTCTTAATGATGTGGAAGTGTTTAAATGTTTTATATTTATTTTGTTAGTGTAGGTTTTGTGTGATACATATATGTGTGTTGGCCTAGCTGGGAGCATATCCCAGGAACGTAACCCCATCATAAATTGAGGTTTACCTGTCCAGTACCTGTATATGGAAATACGTAATGATATTTGTTTAAAGATTTTCCGGACAAATTAATGACTTTAATTTTACTTATAACCAGAAAACAGAATTATCTTCTGATTGTCATAAACAAATAAGTTTTCTATATTTTCAGGTGTTTACATCATTAAGTCTTGGGTCTCTCGTCATTATCACAAGATGTGCCAGTGAACGCAACTGTAAAACTTATCAGGAGGTCAGTGAATCATAAGTTTGATGGCTTTAATACTTTGGATTGTGCTGCAAAACGATTTCCATTAAAAAAATTACACTTGGATTGAGTAAATATGTTTAGTCAAAGACACTTCCTTTTTTTTTTTTAATACCAGGTGTGCATGGCATACTACCGGGTGTTCATGGCATACTACCAGGTGTGCATGGCATACTACCAGGTGTGCATGGCATGATAACAGTATGGATGGCATGATAACAGGTGTGCATGGCATGATAACAGGTGTGCATGGCATGATAACAGGTGTGCATGGCATATAATAATAATAATAATTTTAGTAAACGGTTTATTAATAGAGTTGCAGCCAGTGGCTGAAAATATACAAACTTACATTTGATTTAGACAATGATATGTGTTGAATACATTTACAGGGCTGTACAGTACATAAATCAGGCCTGACATTGCATCAGGTCAGGCCAGTTACACAAGACCCACTAATCCCCCACAGCTCCATGGGAGTGGAAAATAAGTCTTTGCTGTAACACTCAGCTTAATTTTTTTTTCTAGGATTAGCCCACCAGGGCACAGATCAATGACCCACATCAGGGCCTAGGGGCAAAAATATAATAATACTATTAATATTAGTAATATCTCCTTTAGCCGGAATCCCTCAAACCCGGAACTCTTCGATAGCCTGAATTGAAATTTTCTCGGAAAATCCTTCCCATAGCCTGGTAATTTTGGCTTTGGGAATGATTTTCCGAGGGGCACATTTTCCGGAAAATTCCAAGAAAATTTGCCCAATACTGTACCCTGAAAATTTGGGGGATGGGAGATTTTTTTCCGGGTTTGAGAGATGAAAATCAGGTGCAATTTCTGGAACTTCCGAGGACATTTTTCAGTTACGTGGAAAATTCCAGAAAATTCTGGGATTGAGGGTATTTTTCCCGGTTGAAGAGATGATGTAATGGGCAATTTCTGGAACTTCCGAGAACAGTTTTCTATTACCCAGAAAATTCAGGAGAATTCTGGGGATGAGGGATTTTTTCCGGCTTTGAGTGAGTCGTCTCGTTACTTGGAAATCTCCCATTCCCTGAAGTGCTCTATGCCAATTGTTCCGACTAGCAGAGATAGCACTGTAATAAGAATAATACAGTAATAATAATAATTAATAAAAATTTATAAAAAAAAATATATAAAATTAAAAAATAATATAATATAATATAATGTAATAAAGGACCATAAATAAATACACACAAAAAAAAAATCAATAGTGAGAAACGATATTCAGTGAACCCTCGAATATTTGGACCCCACAAGTCCGGATTTCGGAAGATTTGGACAAAAAAATTGGGGGTTCTGGGCTAAGAAGCCTCCATAAGAAGCATTCCCAAAACAAGGTGAAGGTAGTTTTATGCTTAAAGTTTTTATCTTATAAATTGTCACAGACTAAACTGAGCAGAATATAACTTGCATTGCTGGAATCCTTGGAAGAGAGTGAATGATTTGAGTATGGGCATCCCATAGTTTGCACAAGAGATAAAATTTTTAGTCCTTTAGTGTAGTACATTTGAGTACAAAGTGAGTACAGTAATATTTTGTTCAAAATTATGGCTTTTTCACAGGAAAAAGTCTGTATAACCAACCTCAGTTGTCATGTAGGAACGCGCAACATAAGCCGCCACCCTTTAAGGGCTTGGCACTCTTACAACTTTTACGTTAATACTCTGACCTGGTAGCATGACGCGAGAGGAAGGCCCATGGGTACATGTAAGTATAGTATTGAGCATTAGGGAAAGAACAACGGTGAATACTATAGGTGAATAATATACCCAACATACAAATAAAATGTTTATTAAAACACAAAAATGGTTACAGAAAAGACATTGTATGCACCCAAAAATGGGAACTCCTGGTACCATGCCCTCAGGCTCAATTTACTTGCACCACTACTGGGTGTACACACACCATAACACACATACAGTGAGTTCTGCTATAACGCGTGTTTTGACAACGCGAATTGGCTCTAACGCGATTTATGAAGAGAGGAACGATATTTGTATAACGCGAACGCTTGTTTGCTGTAACGCGATTTTTGCTCACTATTTCTCCAATTTTGTGGTATTAACTGTGAATATGGTAAAGAAGGATATCTCCAAGAAGCGTTCTGGTGATCGCATTCCCGGTGATGATCGTAAAAGAAAGGCTATAACCCTTGAAGAGAAGCTCGATGTTATCTACCTCAAAATCACCCTTCTCCCCCATCAAGTTATATTCATATTTTTTCAAGGTAAAGTGTTACATTTACATTATGATTTCATTATTAGATATGAATGTAACATTTAATTAGACTGTGCTATCCTTTGTGTTAGGCTAACTACTAAATTTTTTTCGATTTCGAGTAGTAATCTGCACCTAACCCTATTTTCTCCATAAGCCCTGTTATTTCTATTATGCGAATTTCTATAACACGATGTTTTACAAGAACACAACTATTGCGTTATAGCAGAACTGACTGTAAACTCTTACAGTACCTAAGCACCATTAAAACTAGTGGCACTTGCCAGTACAACACTCAATACCCCAAGGGCAATACTCAAGCGGCCGCCATGGGAGTCTCATCACCAAGTGGCACCTTCCAACAAACTCTGATAATTACGGTGGAATAACACCACCACACCAATAGCCCTACTGAGCTATGTACTCATCCACCAATGATGGGGGCTGACAGTTGTTTGTGGAGCTTGATGATCCGGGGTCATCACGTGGGCATAGCGTTAGGGGAAGACTGGCCAGCTATGGGGCCCATAGGTGGTAGTGGAGCTTCTGACGGTCAAGGTTCATGGGGATAACCGATTCTACTGGACCTCAGACATCTCCACAGACTAGTGGATATGTCATCCACGCTACAGACACGGCCTAGGCTGCGATAGGGACCTGTGGGTGAGGATCGTGGCGGCTTGCTGACGGTTTGAACACGAACATCAACGTTTCAAAGGGACATTAAGGATGTAAAATGCTTCACTCAAAGCACATTAACTACGTTACTGTAACACTTGCACACTGTACACACTGACGTTTGAAGACTACGAACTCAGTTCCATTCCCTACTATTCTCTTTACAAACAATGCTCTTACTGTGCTATCAAAAGCAAGAATTAAATTGATCACAAAAGGTTGGATGGCAATCCCGGTAAGCAGGTCCCAACACGCAGCACCTTACTACAAACACGAGGAGCAGATTCAAAAGTTCCCTTCAGGAATATTAACTAATTCCTTAGTTAACCACCCTACAACAATTTCACTGTGATTATCAGGGTCTCTGATATTCATAGGTGAAAAAAGGGTTTACAGGCCTCGGTAGATGCCAAAAGAGTTTACAAACTCGGTCAACACAAATACGACATCTCGATGACGTCATCAAAGAAACAGAGAAAACGGAGGACGTTTCCACTGGGAGACTCAGAAGGTTTTGTAGACGTGTAAGCGTAATATGAATCAATAGGTTTTAACAGGCTAGGCGTCATTATGATCATGACAGTCAGGATAATATGTACTGCATTTTTGGTGTTTTTTATATCATTATTTTTCGTTTTTTTATACATTTAGTATATTCACCGGAAGGTTCGGACAATCGTCTTTTTCGGACAGGTGGTCCACCCTTTTCTTCCGGATCTTCGAGGGTTCACTCTACTGTATGTATGTTGTGTTGTCAAAGTAAGAGAAACAATTAAAACCCTGCAATTGTGTGTAAATGAGGAAGAAAAATTAGCAACCTCGGACTTGGTTACAATTTTTGTGATGCCATATGGCAGCAGGATCTACCATTAGACAACACATTATGCTTTCAATATCTTTTCAGGCGGTAGTACCTCCCTGTTTGATAGCTGCCTACTACCTACGCTCATATCCTATAGATTGTGAAATTTTCAATATATTTATTTAACCAAACTTTTAGATAAATTGTTCTGGATGATTATTGTAAAGAAATAAGTTTCTCACATAATTAGAACTGTCTTTACAGATTCCAGTAGTTTAGACTCGAGGAAACCTTCCCCAGCACCCAGAAACGTTCTGTTCTGGGGAAGTGGGCTAGTTTCCGTCTGTGCAAGATGTCCAGTTTCGACCTCGGAACTTTTTCCAGTAACCGGAAAAGGTTCCGGGGATAAGGAATTTTTCCGGGTTTGAGAAAGTTGTCTCATTACCCGGAAATCTCTCATCCCCGGAAGTGCTCTGCACCAATTGTTACGGTTAATGGGGATATCACTGTATATTATAGCCTAAGTCCTTATATACATCTAAAATCGCATAATTTAAGATAAAGGAAAGAAATAGAATAGCGAAATACAGTTAATGAAAGTAAAAAATAAGTCATCAGGTAAACAGAATACACTATAAATTTCAGGTTTAACTTTATGGGACCTCATTCGTATCGACAGATGTTCATAAGTCGGACGCATGTAACCCGTTGACCTGTATACTTTTGGATGATCGAAGTTTGACACTTGATTTGACTTATATGATCCTTAATATTCAATAATAATGCAGATTTTTTTTACATAGGAGACATTCACCTGCTAAGGGCTAAATCCAAGATGGTCACCAATATGCATAGGAAAACATTGAGCCAACCATAAATCCATAACTTTGGATCTAGAATGCATAGAATGACAAACTTGATATCAGTTTTGGCTAATTGTGAGAAATCTGATATGTTGGACATGTCTATTTTACTCACTGGGATCATCTGCACCCAAAATTCTGATATGGCTACTTTTGTTGAACACCAACATACTCAACATAGTCAAATGATCATAACTTAGGAACTAGAAAGGGCACAGTGACAAACTTGGTACCAATTCAGATTGAGAGTCTTTCTTAGACTCATTGGTCTGGTTAAACTACCTTATGTAATAATAAAAAAATTCAGGGTAAACCCCCTAAATAAATCTACATGTGTTCTCAAGGCAATGCTTCTGTGTCAAAAAGTCCCTGCACACCGTAAATCTATCATGTGAACAAATTTAACCCAAACTTCAGGTTAGAAGTGGACACAAACTTGACCCTGTCTGATTCAGGTGTTGAGAAAGTTAACAAAACAGATTTCTTGATGATGTTAGTGTGCTGTGGTCTTCCACACACTTAACCATTAATATGGTACAGTATAGTCGACCCTCGTTAATTCGAACTAATAGGGGGGGGAAGGGTGTCCGTTTTAGCCAATTGTCCGAATTAACCGATTTAGGGGTTAATATTGCATTATATTTCAAAGTCATTGTTTTCGTCACGATTTTATCCCACTTTCCACTGTAATACGTACGTCATTTCAGCAAAAATATTACATTCCCGTGAATGCATTATATCAAGCACAGTATGAATAGAATACCATTGTAATATAACAGTATTTTAACCAAAAACTATTAAAAAAACGAGTAACTTCTCTAGAACATCGGAAGGTTAGGTAAAGTCTTTTGTTTTCGTCATGTATTTTATCCTATTTTACATTAAAATACATCACGTTTCAGCAAAACTACTATTTATTTCCGAGAATATATTCATTCAGGCACAATTAAGGTAAAATATACGTGTGATGTAACAGTTTTTTAACTGAAAACGATTCGAAAGACACGTGTACCGTGTAGCTGATACTCAACAGCTGGTGGTGCGTCATGTGTCGTTGTAAACAGTAGGAGGTTGAAGTAGATTACCAGGTATTATATTAAGTGTGAAATATCAAAAAGGTTTTTATTACCGGTATTTTTTGTAGATCAATGAGAACTGTGATACCGTATATGATATGATAAGTTAGCCTGTGCTAAGAACTTCAACATAGACTACTGAAAACACGTTGTAAGGTAATTTAGCCTTTTGTAAGTTGGTGAGCTTCATTTGCTGAAGGAACTGCACAACTTTTCATTACTAATTGGTACAAATTTTACGTTTCCATTGTTTACTGGCAGTAAATGGTAAATATTTTTCATGTCTGAAGCTAAATGTTGCATTCCCCCCACCACACTAGTGGTGGAGATGTTACATTTGACCAAAAAGACGCTGGTGTTTTATCCCAGCAGTGGGTGGACCAGCATTTTAGCTTAAGGTCCGCATAGGTAATATTCCTACAAATCTTAAAAAAAAAAAAAAAAATAAATAAATAAATAAATAAATAAATAAAAGTTCGTTTAGATTGTGTCCGAATTATCCGAAATCCGGATCAAAGGGGTCCGAATTAACGAGGGTCGACTGTATATTGTTGGAGCATATAAAAAATTTAAATAAATGACATATCTCCTCATGCAATGCTACACTTCATCATGGCTCAGGTTTGACCCAAAGTTGACATGAAGAGCATGACTTATGTCCACATACTATAGCAGAGAGGATGCAATGATGTTTTTTATTTATCTCTTTGAAATTACAGTACAACCAAATGTAAAGCATCAGAATTCAAAGATTCATTATTTTTTTACATAACACAACATTATGGCGGTGCACACAGCGACCACATTGCCAACTTCCTGACTTTGTTTTTATTGCAATTTACATAATATTAATTATTTTATGCTTATTTATATAAAATCAAACAGTACAACCATTATGTATTGGGTCATGAAATTCACCAAGTCATAAAAGGACACCATATTGAGAGACTCCAGCCCTAGATTACACGAGATTTGCATAAAAAAAAAAAAAATATGTGTAGAATCGCTCAGACCTGTATCACAAGCTAGGAATACCACCCTAATGTGCAGTAACAAATTCTATGCCTAATTTTTGTTTTACCCTACATAATTATATCCTTGCTTAATAAGTACTGCATTGCAACTGCAAAAATAACTCCTTAAACCTCCTTAAACCTCTCCCATTCCTCTAGCCCTGAGCACCCTTACCCTCTTCAACCACCATAACTCGCCACCCGTTCACACACACACTGGCGTTTGTCATCCCCCTCTTCGCCTCACTCATAAATAGTGTACTTCAGATTCACGCGTCAATACTCTTGGTTCACACCTCATGGAGAGGGTGGATTGACAACACAAAGTAATAATTGTACTACATAGGTGGAAATGTCCCAAACTACAAAATACAGTAACCTCCATTTGGGGCAGCCTTTGGGAACAACAACAATTTTTGTGTGAGTACAGTACTGTCTAAATGAGTTAAGTCACTAACAGTAAGAGGAATTTGTAGACTTCATGTGATTAATTAATACAGCACAAAACAGGTAAACCACACAGGAACAGAAGTGAGTAAAGAGCAAGAAGTGTGAGGCTTATTGATGCCATCATAGTTTTAAGACCAGATTAGGTTTTCTGTATTGGAAGGTTTGCTGTGTAGTAAGTTACTGAGTGCAGTCATTTGTTTATTCACTTAATTTTTTTAGTTTTCACGTACTATTTCTTTTAGATGTTGAGTTTAAAGCAACACTGAAATATTGGTGTCTCCTTTTTTATTGCACCCTAACTACTGATGACAGTTCACTAACTCGAAGTGGCAAAGAGGAAGTGTTTTCATGCTAGGAAATAAACTCTTATTTTACTTATCCAAGAAAAATAATACTGGTACTGTAGACTAGGTTCACAAAGATGATGATTGATCCTAGGTTTAATTTTCTTAATGTAGTAAATACTTATTTTTTGTCTTTTTTCAGTTGGTCCTACACATGTGTAGTCCAGGGTGGAATGTGATAGCTTCTGTGTGTGTCTCCGTTTACTGCTTCGTCACCTGTATCACCTTCATAATTATAATTGGTGACCAGTTTGATAGAGGTTGGATTATCTTTATATTTTAATTTAGAAAACTTTAACTTAATGTTCTCCATCATCTGATTAGCAACTAACCAAGCATCAGAGTATTTATATACAGTAATAATTTATTTGTACTATGCAGTCTTCTTTCTTTTAACACATAAATAGTGGCCATCGTCACTGGATGGTGGCCATCATCAGTGGAAGTTAGTTGGAGGGAAGACAGCCAACATTTGTGGAAGTTAGCTGTAGGAATGGCAGCCATCATCAGTGGATGTTAGCTGTAGTGATGGTAGCCAACATTTGTGGAAGTTAGCTGTAGGAATGGCAGCCATCATCAGTGGATGTTAGCTGTAGTGATGGTAGCCAACATTTGTGGAAGTTAGCTGTAGGGATGGCAGCCATCATCAGTGGAAGTTAGCTGTAGGGATGGCAGCCATCATCAGTGGAAGTTAGCTGTAGGGATGGCAGCCATCATCGGTGGAAGTTCGCTGTAGGGATGGTGGCCATCATTTGTGGAATTTAGCTGTAGGGATGGTGGCCATCATCAGTGGAAGTTAGCTGTAGCTGTAGGGAGGGATGGTAGCCAGCCAACATTTGTGAAAGTTAACTGTAGGGATGGCACCCATCATTAGTGGAATTTAGCTGTAGGGATGGTGGCCATCATCAGTGGAATTTAGCTGTAGGGATGGTGACCATCATCAGTGGAACTTAGCTGTAGGGATGGTGGCCATCATCAGTGGAATTTAGCTGTAGGGATGGTGGTCATCATCAGTGGAACTTAGCTGTAGGGATGGTGACCATCATCAGTGGAAGTTAACTGTAGAGATGGTAGCCATCATCAGTGGAAGTTAACTGTAATGATGGCTAGTGATGGTGGCCATCATTAGTAGAAGTTTGCTGTAGGAATGGCAGCAATCTTCAATAGAATTTTCGTGTTTCTTGTATTCCATTTCAGCATGTGTGGGGAAGTAGGGTCTCGCCTCTGGACTCCGGTAGTTTAGGCTCAAGGAAAACTTCCCCAGCACCCAAAAAAATTCTGGGGAAGTGGACTAGTGTCCTTCTGTGCATGATGTCTAGTTTAGACACTCGGAAACTTTACCCAGTAACCGAAAAAGATTCCGGGGATAAGGAATTTTTCCGGGTTTGAGAAAGTTGCGTGATTAGCCGGAAATTTCTCATCCCCGGAAGTGCTCTGCACCATTTGTTCCGGCTACCGGGGATATCACTGTAGTAGGTAAAAAGTTTGAAGGTATTATGTCATTAAACTGGCTCTCTTACAAATTTCAGCATTTGCATCATTTGTGGGAAGTGATTTCTGTCATACATGGTACTTAAACCGAAAGTTTACAATGACAGTATCATCATTGCTGCTTATCTTCCCATGCTGCTTTAAGAGAATTGATGGTCTGAGATATATGAGGTAAGCATTCTTCATACATTTGCTGGGACACACTGAATTTCGTTGACAAGATTCTATTTATGTTAAATGTGGCACAAACCAGTTTCTAGAATTTGGGCCAAATTTTCCTTGTTTATACATCTTTCGGAGGAAGTAAACCTAACAAAAATTTAGTTAAAAGGTCTGCTTATACTGTACAGTATTTTAATATTCTTCAAATTAGTTTTTTTTGCTCGGACGTTTACAAAGAATTACAGAGACATTGGCTTTGTTTCATTATTTGTAGTTATGTATTACCTTTTCAGTATAGATTTTTTTTTCAGTTATGTTGGAGTTTTGTCAATTTGGTACTTGGTGGCAATCATAGTAGCAGAGTATTACAGTTATTCTTATAACAAAGGGCCTGTCATCTTCTTTGATGTCCATTGGACTCAGGTAGGTGTAAGTCTTTGTGTATGATATGTGTAAATAGATGCTGGTTGTATGGGCATGCATTTTCAAATTGTTACAGGTACAGGAGTTCTTCAATTTGTGAAAGGGACATTTTCATGAAATATCTTTCATAAAGTGAAGCCATTTTTCCCATTGACTACCATTAGGTAAAGGGAGATACATTCCTTCAAAAAAAAAGTCCCCCAAACATTTGCCCTATGAAAAAACACTAATAGCAATTGGTGGCACATCCTTGGTCACAATCAAGATTATCAGGTGCATCACCTTCATTATCAAATTCCTCTTCCTGTTGTGTGGGGCCTGAAGTGTGGTCATTACCTGGAGAATATATGGGAGAAGGAGGAAATCCCCCAAGATCTTAAAGGCTGTGGCAACTACTGCAGGAACTCACTGCTATTCGTAGCTGGCAAGATTATCGCTCGAGTCCTCCTAAAGAGACTTCTTCTGGCGCAAAACTCCCTCCCAGAATCTCAATGTGGCTTTAGACCATCACGTGACACCACTGACATGATCTTTGCTGCCCGCCAGATACAGGAAAAGTGAAGAGAACAGTGTCGTGACTTGTACATGACCTTCATTGACATTTTTAAGGCCTTCGACTCAGTGAACAGGGAAGCCTTCTGGCGGACCGTTCAGTCGTTTTAGCTGCCCAACAAAATTCATTGCCATTGTGAAGCAACTCCACGAAGGCATAAACTGCAGTGTCCTACACATTGGCACCCAGTCTGAGTTCTTCCCCAGCCAAATGGGAGTAAAACAAGGATATGTACTGACACCAAATTTTTCCATTTTCTTGGCTGCCTTCCTAACTTGTGCCAATGCCAATTTAGCTGGTGGGCTGGACATTCAGTACTGGATGAAGGGACTTTTCAACATAAGAAAACTCCAGGCAGGAACAAAAGTGTCAGCTGCTTCCATCACTGAACTTCAGTACGCAGACGACTTCACCCTCGTCACTCACATTGAATGTAATCTACAGGAGATCCTGAACATTACGCAGATGCGTATGCACACTTTGGCCTTAAGGTGAATGTATATAAGACTCAGATTCTCTTTCAGCCTGCCCCTGGCTCAACCACACTTCCACCATCCTTCCAGCTTAACGGTACTACTCTCTCTAATGTTACCCACTAACAGTACCTTGGCTCCCACCTGTCCACCACGGCGAACATCGATGAAGAGATTCAACATCGGATCAGATGTTCTTCTCAAACCTTTGGGAGACTCTGTACCTGTGTCTTCAGCTGTAGGGAGCAGAAATTATCTAAGAAGTTGCAAGTGTTTTGTGCAGTGGTCCTCTCCACCCTGCTGTATGACAGCAAGACATGGATCACATACAGGTGGCACCTCAAGGCACTTGAAAACTTTCACCAACGTAGTCTCCATTCCATTCTCCGAGTTCGCTGCAAAGACAAGAGAACAAATGTCAATATTCTCGCTGACACCAACTGTAGGAGCATCGAGGCTACCATTATCCATAAACAACTACTTTGGAATGACCATGGTACCCGCATGGACAACAGTAGACTGCCAAAGCAGCTACTTTACAGTCACCTAACGAATGCTGAATGTAATGCTGGTGGACAGTGGAAAAGGTATAAGGATAGTCTTAAGACAAACCTGAAAAAGTGCCAAATCGATCCCCTCACCTGGGAGATGATCACTCCACATCGTAATGTTTGGAGGAGCACCACACGAGAAGGTGTCAATGCTTTTGAGTTAGCCCGACTGCATACCGAGGCAGACAAGCGCCAGCGCCACAAAGACGCTGTCCCTCCTACACTAGATGTAGCCTTCCACATGTGCAACATCTGTGGACAGCTTTGCTGATACTACATCGGCTTCTATAGTACCTTAGAATTCACCAACGTAGGTGACAGCCTTGATAACTCATATCATTGTATCATAGCTGGATAATCGGCATACTCGATTCCGAGTGAAAGCAAAGTAGTAGTAAATAGTAGTGTGTGTGTGTGTGTGCATGCGTGCGTGCGTGCGTGCGTGCGTGTGATAATAATAATAAATAATAAACGGTTTGTTGAAAAAGTTTGCAGCCCGAAGGCTGAAAATATACATTGTACATAAATGACTTATTACATACATTGGTGGTTTAACAAAAGCCTTCATTTGAGAAAGGTGAAGGAACATACAGTGAACATACAGATTAATGTTTACACACGTAGATCATGTGAGCTGAGGTGTTGAACAGCAGACACGTAGTGTAGTAACTCCCTCACAGATGGTGTTATGAGGGGTATCACGTGGAGTACTAGTTCCCTCACAGGTGGTGTTATGAGGGACTTGACGTGGTGTAGTAATTCCCTCACAGATGGTGTTACGAGGGGCCTGATGATGTAGTAGTTCCCTCACAGATGGTGTATGAGGGGCCTGATGAGTAGTAATTCCCTCACAGATGGTGTTATGAGGGGCCTGATGTGGTGTAGTAATTCCCTCACAGATGGTGTATGAGGGGCCTGATGTGTTGTAATAATTCCCTCACAGATTGTGTTATGAGGGGCATCACATGGCGTAGTAATTCCCTCACAGATGGTGTTATGAGGGGCATCACGTTGTGTAGTAATTCCCTCACAGATGGTGTTATGAGGGGCATCACGTTGTGTAGTAATTCCCTCACAGATGGTGTTATGAGGAACTTCACATGATGCTGTAGCAACTCATTCACTACGTGGTGTCGTAGCATCATGGGGACACCACGTGGTCAGTTGTCACAGGACTTCACTCACTCAAGTGGGTGAGGTGTGGCGAGGTGTGGTCCCAGGCCTCTCTATCGTGGAGTCTCGGGGGAATTATCACTGGGTACCTGGGACCTCACTGTGTGAAGGTTAGCTTGGGTAAGACTCAACTGTAACTGCCGAGTTGTTTTTCACTGACTTAAGCACTGTTCACCACTATTCAACACTGGTTCCATTCCTTTCCCAAATGAAATAGTAACTTCTGGCGAGAACTTGTTGATATTCCGGTGGGGAGGAGGGTTCAGGGGAGGGAGTTGGTATGGGCCAACATAATAGTTGACGTGGCTGCTGCTGAGCAGCGCCAGGTGCGCCTGTCCCGTCTTGACCCGTCGGTGGTCAAGGATGAAGTGTGTGTGTGTGTGTGTGTCATCAGGGAGGAGGGAGAGTGACTGGGTGGCAAGTCGGCGATGCAGTTACTGCCTCCACAGGTACATTCAATCATCACACCCATGCTCTTCATTTTTTTATTTTATAGTTTTATATTATATTTTCTGTATCTCTAAGCCACATTAGAGTATTGTAATGATTTTCTATGACTTTTATAGTTTCATTTTATGTTACAATGGCAACATGTTATCTCGCAGGCCACCTCCTCTCCATTTATTTTCCATTTCTACTTAACATTAAGTGAATTAATGCTAAACAAGGGATACCTATTTACAGTAAATAGATAGATACTGTACAATGGCTCCTCAATATTTGTATGGGTTCCGTTCTCTAAAGTTTATATAGTATACACAAAAACAAAGCAATTTTTCCCATTTATATCAGCATAATAAAGAGGATTTATCGTTTATATAAAATTTTTAATGCGTGGTTTCTGCAAGATTAATTCCTTTCCTTTTTTCTCTCAATATCAGATATTTGACGTAGTCCCAACAATATGCTTTGGGTATCAGTGTCATGTGAGCAGCATACCCATATACTCTTGCTTAAAACATCAAGATGCATCAACATTTGCCAAGGTTAGTTCCCAAAAGTAATATATCTAGAGATTTTTATAATTATTTTTAATGTTCAGTCATCTCTCTCTAACAACAGTTTTAAGTTCAATACTTAAAATTCACAGAGGTTTGAGTCTCTAAATGGCCGCAAATAGCCAAGTCTGCGAATATCATTTGCTGGCTGGGGGGGGAGGGGGTTACATTTTTATTCGTGTGCAAAGAAATGTATATTCACTTTATGTGTTTGCCCTTAGGACAATTATTTCTTTTACCTGTATTATATATATATATGTGTGTGTGTGTGTGTGTGTGTGTGTACACACACACAAAACACATACAAATAAATAATAATGGGCAAATCCTCTCACAAATAATCGGAAACAAGACAACAAATTGTATCAAAATGCAGAAAAAAATGTGAGTCTACCCTCAAGGCAACTCCATGCTTTGTTATTAAAGTTCAGTTAATCTTAATAACAAAGCACGAAGTTGACTTGAAGATAGACTCTCACATTTTTTGTACATTTCAATACATTTTGTTGTCTTGTTACGAATTACAGTATTTGTGAGAGGATTTTCCCATTATTATTTATTTGTGTGTTTTGTGTGTGTGTAACACACATAAGTAATATCTCCATTAGCTGGAATCCCTCAAACCTGGAACTTTCCAATAGCCGGAATTGAAATTTGCTCGAAAAAGCATTCCCAAAGCTGGGATTTAAAAAAATTCCGGCTTTGGAAACAAATTTTCCGATGTTGAAAATTAAGATCATTTTCTGAAGTCTTGAACAAAGACGAAAGCTCAAGTGTTTTGGGGAGGGACCAGACCTGACACAATGTTAGGTGGAGGTAGGGTAGAGGATTAGTGGTCTCATATTATTGACTTTCTGATGGAATGTCGGGTCACCATAACACCTCACAAACTGGCCCAGTAGCCTGGTGGTTACATTGACGAGCTAACCTAGTTACAATCACTATTAAACACTATTCTATCAGTAAATACTAATAATTACAGTAAATCCAGTAAAATATGGCAGGGAGTGAGGAGAGTTACAACTGCAGACGACTCGCTAACTAGCAGTCACTCACTCCCCTTACCTGCTCCCAATGCCAGGCGTAGCCAGGCGTACTTATGGGTGAAATACATGACCTTCTTTTTTCTCTTCACTTGTTTGGGCACCTTTCTGTGGCTGGATGAAGGTGGTTGGGGGTTTTTGGGAGCTATCACAAGTTGTTAAGGGAGCAGAGTAGCACAGATACGAAACGGACAAGTGTTTAACCCGGAATGAAGCTTAGTGAGCCGCTGATGGCCCAGCCGCCTGGGATGAGAGGGACACCTGGAGGGACGCCATAAAACTCATGGACTTCCCGTTCCGGCCGCAAAAATGCCGCTAACTTTAAAACTACCTGCAGACATTCTTTGGTACATCCAGTGAGTTATCTGCAAATACAGTACTCCCTCTTTATCGACGGGGGTTACGTTCTGTAAACGGCCGTCGATAAAGAAACCGTCGATACCGTGATGGTTACGTAATTTTTCTAACTATTATTAGCATATGTTGAATAAATGTACCTTTAAGCATTAATGCGTTTCCTTTACGCATAACCTTAAATAATAGTGTATAAATAATAATATAATAAGTGGACAAAAATACTAGCAAACTTACGATTTCATTTATTGAAGTGAACATCGGTCCTTACAGTAAACAAAACAGTGTACAGTACAGTAAAAGTCCAAAAATCCGGATGCCCAAGGCAAATTGTTTACCATTTATTATTACAACACTTTACACTGAAACGCGGGTAGTTTCAACAAAAATATTGTATATTTCCATTCAAGTATTTATTCAAGTCAATTAGGAGGGAATATTATTGTAATACAACAGTTTTTTAACTAAACCATTCGAAAAGTGATTACGGTAACATCTTTTGAACGAAAGAAAGCGCAAGTCATTGTTTTCGTCACGGTTTTATCCCACTTTCCACTGTAATACGTACGTAATTTCAACAAAAATATTACATTTCCGTGAATGAATTATATCAAGCACAGTATGAATAGAATATCATTGTAATATAACAGAATTTTAACCGAAAACTATTAAAAAAACGAGTAACATCTCAAGAACATCGGAAGCATAGGTAAAGTCTTTTGTTTTCGACATGTATTTTATCCTATTTTACATTGAAATACGTCACGTTTCAGCAAAACTACTATTTATTTCCGAGAATATATTCATTCAGGCGCAGTTTAGGTAAAATATACGTGTGATGTAATAATTTTTTAACTGAAAACGATTCGAAAAACACGTACCCTCTAGCCCTGTTCAAGGAGAGGACTGGGAGAAGCTGTTTGGTGCTGCAGACGATGACAAGGAAAATGATTTTGATGGATTTTAATGAAAATATTCAGAAATATGGTATCGTAATATTTATTCAAGTCAATTAGGATATTATTGTAATACAATACAACAGTTTTTTAACTAAACCATTCGAAAAGTGATTACGGTAACATCTTTTGAACGAAAGAAAGCGCAAGTCATTGTTTTCGTCACGATTTGATCCCACTTTCCACTGTAATACGTACGTCATTTTAGCAAAAATATTACATTTCCGTGAATGTATTATATCAAGCACAGTATGAATAGAATATCATTGTAATATAACAGAATTTTAACCGAAAACTATTAAAAAAACGAGTAACATCTCAAGAACATCGGAAGCTTAGGTAAAGTCTTTTGTTTTCGTCATGTATTTTATCCTATTTTACATTGAAATACGTCACGTTTCCACAAAACTACTATTTATCTCCGAGAATATATTCATTCAGGCGCAGTTTAGGTAAAATAGACGAGTGATGTAATAGTTTTTTAACTGAAAACGATTCGAAAAACACGTAGCCTCTAGCCCTGTTCAAGGAGAGGACTGGGAGAAGCTGTTTGGTGCCAAAATAAAAATCCGGCTAAATAATCCGTCGATAATCGAAACCGTCCATAAAAAATCCGTCGATAAAGAGGGAGTACTGCTATAATCAAAGGCCTTGAATTGTAAGGGCATGCTGTATTGTTATTTTTCTCCCCTCAGGAGGTGTCCTTCATGTTTCGTAAAATCTCATAATTCGTAAGAGCTAGACTCCCCTATTATTTCGAATTATAAAGGATTTTACTGTAAATAAAGTTATTTGGAACTATTCAAACCTTTGCTACTTGATAAAAAGTGGTTGGTGTCAAAACAAATTTAGCAGAGTTGTAAAATGTGCGGACTTTCTTAATTTAGTAAAAGTATTGTTACATTGGCAAAATGTTAAGTACAAGTAATAATATCCAAAATTCAGTGTACTTTAGTAGAAGTAAACAAGTGTATCTTTTATAAAAGTACAGTGAGTTCTGCTATAACGCGTGTTTTGATAACGCGAATTTGCTCTAACGCGATTTATGAATTCGGAACAATATTTGTATAACGCGAACGCTTGTTTGCTATAACGCGATTTTTGCTTACTATTTCTCCAATTTTGTGGTATTAACTGTGAATATGGTAAAGAAGAATATCTCCAAAAAGCATTCTGATGATAGAATTCCCGGTGATTATCGTAAAAGAAAGGATATAACACTTGAAGAGAAGCTTGATGTTATCAACCTCAAAATCACCCTTCTCCCCCATCAAGTTACATTCATATTTTTTCAAGGTAAAGTGTTAAATTTACTGTATGATTTCATTATTAGATATGAATGTAACATTTATTTAGACTGTGCTATCCTTTGTGTTAGGCTAACTACTAAATTTTTTCGATTTCGAGTAATCTGCACCTCACCCTATTTTCTCCATGGCCTGTTATTTCTATTCAGCGATTTTCTATAACGCGATATTTTACAAGAACACAATTATCGCGTTATAGCAGAACTACACTCAAGTACAGTACTGAAAGTGAAATGTAACAAAAAAATTTTAGTCATCGCAAATATTAAAATAAATCCACAGTAAATTATAAAACTGTCCAGTTGGGATCTTTTATAAATGTAAGTCCCAGCATGTTAAACAAGCTCTGAAACAGCAGATGCAGGAAGTGGGGTGTTAAGTTTAAGAGATAAGTCACATAATGTCGGCGAAGACCTCAGTAGCTCCATTCCATCCCCTGGGCATTCCAAGCAGCTATCAAGTTCCTTCAGTTGAGGAGTTTGTGGATGATTGTTGCCTCCATAGCTTCGAAGAAGGAAAGGTCAGAAAAGGCAGCTTGGGCACTGAAACTTCATGTTCATCGCCTGGGTACATTCTTGAAACGATATGACAAAATGCATATGATTGTTCCAGACATGAAGAAATGGTTGTGATTGGTTAGCTTCCAAGTTTGTCCTGTATTCTGTGATTGGATATTTAAAACTATTGTTTGGGGCATGTAGCGAGTAACGATTTTTTTTTCAGTTGTATCTGAGTAAAAGTATTAGTAAACCATAGCTAAGTAAAAGTATTAGTAAACCATAGCTAAGTAAAAGTATTAGTAAACTATAGCTAAGTAAAAGTAAAAGTACTGAAAATTTTTAGTACAGTATTACCCCGCTTTACACGGTTTCACTTTCCGCGATTTCTCATTTACGCGGTACCTTGCCAGAACCGGACTTTCTCTTTCCGCGGTGCATCTACTCATATACTATATGCGGTGAAGTATATATTTTTTTTTTTTAGCTCATAAAATTCATACAAATACCCGGCCAGAATATAATTTACATTGCTGGAATTCTTACAATATGATGATCATTTTGAATATAAACATCATGGATTTTGCATTAGACATACAAATTTAGATCTAATGTAATAATTTGGTTTACACAAAGCAAATATTTTATCTTTTGTGCAGAATATATGGTTTACATTCAAAATATTCCCGGACCTGCAAGGAATCCAGAAAAATGTCAATTATATCATCTAACTTTAGTCTGAGTTATTATTTATTACTAAAAATGTAAATATACTATTTTCTCCCAAACGTTTCTCTGGTAGGGAGAAGGTGGCGGGTGGGGGTAGGGAGG